GTAGAAACGAGTTTTACTCTAATTGAAAAATCCTAAGCATATAAGTGTTTAAAAAGACTAAAAACAATTAAATTTACAGAAATTGCAGCAATTTGATTTTCTTGAACATTGTTAATTTTTGTATTTTCCCACATAAGTCACGTAGGTGAGTGGGGTTGGTGGGAAAAGGACAATAGATATAGAGTTCTTAGACTTCTCATTAGTTTAAGGGCTCAAAGCGCTGGTCTAGAAATGCATACGTTTGCAGGAAAATACCTTAAGATGGAATCTAAAACAGTTTTGAAATCCAGACCTGAATGAGTAGGACGCGCAAAAAAGTAACCATCCAGCACCTGATGGTCACCCGAACAAACCATAATGACAAAACTGCTCAGAGGCGCTAACTAACAAGGGTGAATATTAAGTTCAGATATTACATATTCGCAAAGGAAAGAGTTAGGACTACTTCCTTATTTGAGTATTAAAAAACTAAAATACTAGCTTTTACTTTAAAAGAACTAAAAGTCAGCAACGCATTTCACTAGTTATGAAAAAAATTTTAATGCTAGGTGGATTTCGATCTAAAGCAAACGAGGAAGAATTGAATCGTTTGTGATTCCACTTGCGTATGCTATTTCATGTACACATCTATATTCTAAAACCTGCCATATATTTTTATCTTGCGCTGTGTTTACCTAATGCGATAAATTGTGACCGCAACTCAAATATTGAGTAGTGGTGTTTATTGCTCAGCTTCGAGGGGTGGGTTTTTGCTCCCTGCTTGTGAAGAGACTTGGTAGAGGATGTCATTTGAGATATTTTTCCTTGTTTTTTTATAATCGCTTTTTTGGGTGAACTGGACATAATTTTTGCTTTTAACTATGTCTTACCATACCTGATTTGATACAACCGGTATGTTTTTTGTGTTGTTCTGTTCTGCCTTTCACAAACGAATCATAACCCCCATTGTAAGGCGGGACATTTGTAATGTCCTGGAAAATAAACAGATTTTCCTTTTCTTTAGAGCTTGCTTTCTAGCATGTCTGATGATTACCATCAAATGTACCGGGGAACTACCCTCGGTAATACGCTGCAAGAATCCTTAGACGAGATGCTTGATCACAGTCTACTAAAACCTCAAACCGCAATGAAGGTACGCAGCACTGAGTCCTTAATGAGTAACCGTTTAGATAATGAAAAAATTCGATCAATGCATTTGTACGGCACTATCAACTCAAGTGAAGGCAAGATTAAATCTTCAAGGTTACCTGAACGCCTACAGAAACTGTGATAATGTCTGGACACTTGTTTTGAACAGTGTGGAAATTAAGGACGGTTCTGGAGCTATGCATGTCGACAAGGTACGGTTCTCTTGGTCAAGTACATAACTGCTAAATTCTCCGGTTTGCCTCGTCTGGGCGGTCCATGGCAAAAGTTTCTCTGGGCTTGTGTTTATAGGTGTTTTTCATCGCCAATGCTTAATATTACTTTTTTATCCCTCTAGATGAAGATTGTTGCCTGTGAGGGGAAACACTCGAAAAGTGCACCTGGTCAAGGCTCACAGAAGACAGGCGCTAACGTGAGTCGCGTTGGTCCCGGTTACTCTGGTCCAACACAGCATGGTGATGCCGATCCGGGCAATGTTGACGAGGAACGCTCAGATGAGGATGTTCCGTAGTTGCAGCTCACAGCATTGCAACGCACAATTTAATTCCGCGTTTAAATTTATGCAGGCAGCTCGATGAAACACGAACCCCCTGAGCTTATGAAAAGACGTATTCATACATTAAAAGAATTTATAAAGTACTATTTCTCAAAAGGACAAAAAAATTTGTCGAATTAGGAAGTAGAATTATCACCAAGGGAGGACTGAATCTGCACTTCTAGTCGCAATTGATGAATTGGAAGTAGGATCAGCTTTTGATTGTTATCAGGCTTGATACGAGGAGGAGGTGGTACTCCCTCCGCCACCTGTCCAGTCGGTATGATGCCATGTACCCGGAGAGGTCTCTAGTTCGTATAGATGTGCACCAAAGTAGTCCCGCTGAGCCTACAATTAGTGGGGAGATCGATAGTGGGATGTGGTGATTTTGTACGCGTTTACCTGGATCAAATTGGCAGGCAGTCTCGCGGATCGGAATGCGTCGAAAAAGGCGAGCGCCGAGCTGAAACCAGGTGTGGGAATCCCTGTTTTCGCGCTCACACAAACTATAGAACGCCAGGAATCCTTAAACAAAATGAAAGTAAGTAATGGTGTACGATTCTACATTATCTAAAAGTGGAGTCTGTTCTTACTTGGCAACGATTAATAGCCTTTTTGAAGAAGGGATCGAGAAGAAGATTAGTAAGATCGGGGTCTCGAGTGTAGGCCGTCTTAATATCGCCGAGGAAGCGGCTACACAAAAAAGGGCTGGTACTGATGAAACCAGAAAATGAGGTTTGGGACGACCTTTAGGACGTCGCAATAATCGCCTATTCATTTTAACTACGCAGAAAGTAGGCAAATACGAAGAACCCACCTTCTAATAATGCAGCCACCACGCCAAATGAGAGCAATGGCTCCCAAATCCAAATCCCAACCGAATTCTTCGCAAGCTTTTTGCAATAACATGAATCCTTGAGCATACGAGACTATCTTCGACGCGTACAGTGCCTAAATAGTTGTTGCGAAAATAGTAAAGGGCTCGGTTAAAGTACGTCAAAATAAGATAGAGACGACGATTAAAAAAGTAACTGCAGTAGAGCGTGGACCAAGAAACCCATATCAAAGTAAAGAAAGTAGGTACAGTAGAATGCAAACGAGATTAATGGAGCACTTAGCTCAAAATGTTCCGCTATGGCAAGACCAAGCTTCTCCTACAAGGATTATGCTGGTGGAAGATTACTAGTATATTAATTTGCTAATCAAACGTAAACGCAGTAAAGAAGTGCATCTGCGTTTAACTGTGTTGTTAAACTGCCATCGGAGTAATTTTACCAATTTCACAAGGACGCACCTTCCGAATGAGTTCAACTTCCTCCCTTTTTTCTTCGAGTTTGACCTTGCCATATTTTTCAATTTCAGGGGTAACAGATGGTCCAGACAAGACTTTAGATGCCTCCATTCGTTCCTTCTTCATCGAAGACAAACTTCTTGAAAAAACCGACTCAGCTGAACAATAAAACTTCAAAATATTAAAAAACAAAAATGATATGATCAGAGGTTTAATGTTAAGTATGAAAAGCTTATGTGCAAAAAAAGCGACCGCACTGATGCACTGCCAAAGTTGGTTGCAATATTTACAGCGAGAAACACGTTGCACGAAAGTTTTGGCTCACCAATGAGGGTAATAGGGCATCCGCGCTCAAGGCCGCAAATCGTAGTCCATTTTCCAGTGCCTTTCTGAATTCGGAAACAGTGAGATTGACGTCGTGAAAATTGTCGAAATCAAAACATGCCGAAACGCATGGACCCCATATTTGCTTCGAACGTCAGGAACGTAATCATAAGCCCGTCAAATGTAAAAGGGAATGAAAATTTCAATAACTTTTCAGCAGGTCGGCACATTCAAGGCAGAAAAGAAGCACTGATTTTGAAATAAATTTTTAAAAAGTATGAGAAATCTAGTTTTGACGAAGGCCTACACAGTGCAACCCATCAAAAAATGCCAAAAGTCGCGTCATAAAAGCTGCAAGCGTCCACGTACAACTAGCCAAAACGATAACTGAAATATAAATAGCTCCATGTGATGAATTGCCCATCGACCTTAAGGCCTGCCGGGAAAATGACGTTTTTCATTTCTGAAAAATTACGGTCGGTGTGTAGAGAACAGTAATTAAGCCTATGGACAGCTAACAAAGCACAAAGTAACCAGCGCTTATTCAATGGTTGTGCAGCACTGCCGTCTTGGAGCCAAAACGATTACCCTTCCCACCCAATTAAAAACGCTTAATGGGCACAAAATTACTTCCGTGATAACGTCCTAGCGCTAGGTCAACTCAGAGTTTGGTAAAACGAAAAGCAGAGAAAGAACCTAATAAATATCGAGTCGGTGGAGAAGTCACTCAAGAATACTCGTAGTTATTTCAAAGCTTTTATGAGACAGAAATATAGATTGAGTAAAAAAGGCATAAATATGCAATGTTTCTATAAATACAATTTAGAGTTATAATTAATCAGTGCTTTACCTGACCCGAAACGTCACGGATTTTCTCCAAGAGTGGGGTTCCAGATTCGTCATTAAAGGCTAAAATGTCTCGAGTTATCTGAATAAGGTAAGACTCCAGTTCTCCTTTATTCCACTCATCGAAAACCTATAACCGATGAAATTGCATGTAGGTAGCAAGTTTAAAGCAATGACATCCAAGCTTAGACGACTGAGTTAAAAAATTTTAAAAATGGGATAAAAAACACAATTCAAATGCAAACCATCACGTAAGGCAACCAAAAGCCACGTATATGTAATACGAGTATTTACAAACCTTTGAGGCCTCAGCGGCTGTGAGACAAAGATATTTTGTCAGGAGGAAATATGCTTCCGAAATCAATTGCATGTCGCCATATTCGATGCCGTTATGAACCATTTTGACGAAGTGACCGGCTCCACCACTTCCAACCTGTGCGAAAGATGAAGGAAGGAGTCTCAGTAACAATAGATCATGAAGCATAGTTTTCCGCAATCCGATTAATGTTTCCGTTTCGAAACACACTTTCGTAATACCAAGGAACGAACGGACTATAAACTGGAGGCTTGACGTTAGTCAACAACCCCTTTAAATTGAAGCAACTAGCAGTAACGGATTTAAAAATGCAACTCCATACTTTCCAGCGAAAAAAACGACTTCCTATCAATCATTCTTTTCGATTATTTTCCTTATAATAAATTAATCGCCTCTATAGCTTAGTGCTCCAAGTTAAGCCTTATGTTATAAAGTTTTATATCCAGTTATACATTATTAAACTACGCAATTTTACCTTTAGGCCCCACGTTTTGTTTCTATTTCCTCCCACCTACTTCGAACAAGGCAATATCAAGATACCTCAACTTCAGAATGCCAAAAGAAAGCAAAGGTTTCTTTGAGCTAGAATTTCCGCCCATTTAAAAATTACATGAATCGATGACTACAACCGCAGTGCAGGGGGCACGAAAGGAGTTCCACTTCAATATGCTTTCTTGCAAGCATCATTTAGAGTGGTAATTGCCTTACACTGGCATCACAAAAATTCAAAGATTTGGTGTGGCGGAACACATTAGCAGGGCTTCTGGAACAAATTGAGACATTCAATGCAAACTTGCCCAATCACAACAAGGCTCGCCTGCCGGTGTTTTCGCAGATATAGATTGAAAGATGTTTTGGATATGAGGCCTAAAAGTAGTGTGAAACCAATGGAATATAATAGTCTGCATAAGAATAGTGCGTCATAAACAAGTATCCACAAGAATGATTTTTTATGCATTCATCGGTGTTGGAAAGTTATATCATATTCTTAAGATAATGAGCTTGTCAGTGATTTCAATTTAAATGATGGGAAAAAACCAGGTAAGTACTACAGCTAAATATTACAACAGAATATTCAAGCATACCAAGCCATGCCAGCTAAATAATTGAAAAAAATCTGACATGATTAAATTCAGATGACATCGTTATATACAAAATCACTCAGCAGGAGCTAGGAGCGCAAAAAAATGCAGACCTACCACGCCTCATGATTACCCCCAGGCATGAGACTAGGGCCGGTGCGCGCGCCCTCCTCACCTCCACTTACACCCGAACCAACAAAAAGCAAACCGACTGAATCAAGGTATTTGCATCTCCTGTCGGTGTCGGTAAAGGCCGAATTTCCCCCATCAATTATTATGTCACCTCGATCCAAGAGGGGAACCTCGGAAGATAATAAAACAAGAATTTTAAACCGTGAAAGTATATAAAATCAAAGCAACTTTTATAGAAAAAAATGCCACACTAATTCCCAAATTGGCTAGATTCAAAGGCAAAAGTAAATCCTTTGCAATCATCAAATGAGCTAAGAGAAGTCGCTAGCACACATGCACAAAAAGGGCCCATTAAAATAAGCTAAATTTCGATGACTTATGAGAAAATATCTCAACGATACTGTAGTCATTCAAACAATTTACCAATATTTCGATAAAATCATCGACCGGTTGTCCAGCCTTTACAAGAATCATAATCTTTCTTGGTTTCGCAAGGCAGTCGACAAATTCAGGAGCAGTTCTCGCACCGCACAAATTTTTGCGCTCCACCTCACGAGATACGAATGCATCAACCTTCGATACGGTACGATTAAAAACGCAAACCTTTGCAACAAAGTCATCAACAATGAGTTACACTACCTTAAAGCCATGATCAAGCATATTTAAAACTAAGTTTTGGCCCATGACGGCTAGGCCAATCAGACCAATGTCGCATCTACAAAAGAAGCTGCACATGAGAAACCAGCCGTTAAAACAAACTTACGCATACAGATAAATCGGTAAACGGTGTAAGCACATGAACTAGCCGTGACAAAATAATTCAGAAAGAGCAAGAAATGGAACGCATTACGCAAATCCAACAGTAGACGACATAATAATACAATCCTACCAAATTGAACACGACAAAACGACATAAGTGAAAAGCAAAAACATGTACAGACCCGGAGCACGGCATCACCCGCGAAAAACGACGTTACTGCACCTAAAAGCAGCAGAACTTGTGGCCAATTTAAACAACAACAAGGATTTTTAACACTCAAATCGCGAAATTTCTGACTTAAACACAATTTTAAGTGCAAAATAAAACATTCGCAAATAATAACAATAATAAGCTGATGTATATTAAGCCAGGAGCGCAAATTTGTTTCATTAAATTTTATTTCTCACACAATCGGAAAATGCTGCA